AATAATTTATTTTTAGTTTTCAACATTCACTTCCATAAGATTTTGAGTTTAAAATTTTCTCCCTCCTCTCTGCCCCCCCCCCCAAGATGGCATGTAATCTGACATAGGCTCTACTAATACATACATATTAAGCATATTTTCACATCAGTCATGATGTATAGAAGAATTAGAACTAATGGGAGGACCCACAAGAAAGAAGAAATAAAACAAAACAACAAAAGAAAAGGAGAACAAATAGCATCCTTCCATCTGCATTCAGACTCCACAGTTCTTTCTCTGGATGTGGATAGCAATTTCCATCATGAATCTTTTGAAGTTGTCTTAGATCCTCACATTGCTGAAAAAAGCTAAGTCTATCAAAGTTAGTCATCGCACAATATGGCTATTACTGTGTACAATGTTCTCCTAATTCTGCTCATTTCACTCAGCATCAATTCATATAAGTCTTTCCAGGTTTTTCTGAAGGCCTCCAGCTCATCATTTCTTATAGTGCAATAGTATTCCATTACATTCATGTACCACAACTTATTCAGCCATTCCCCAATTGATGGGCATCCCCCAATTTCCAATTCTTTGCCACCACAAAAAGTGCTGCTATGAATATTTTTGTACATATGAGTCCTTTTCCCATTTTTATGATCTCTTTGGTATACAGAACCAGTAGTGGTATTGCTGGGTCAAAGGGTATGCACAATTTTATAGCCCTTTGGGCACAGTTCCAAATTGTTCTCCAGAATGGCTGGATAAGTTCACAACTCCACCAACAATGCACTAGTGTTCCAATTTTCTCACATCTTCTCCAACATTTATCATTTTCCTGTTTTGTCATGTTAGCCAATCTGATAGGTTTGATGTGGTACCTCAGAGTTGTTTTGATTTGCATTTCTCTAATCAATAGTGATTTGGAGCATTTTTTCATATGACTATAGATAGCTTTAATTTCTTCCTCTGAAAACTGCCTATTCATATCCTTTGACCATTTATCAGTTGGGGAATGACTTGTATTCTTATAAATTTGACTCAGTTCTGTATATGTTTTAGAAATTAGGCCTTTATCAGAGACACTGGCTGTAAAAATTGTTTCCCAGCTTTCTGCTTCCCTTCTAATCTTGGTTGCATTGGCCTTGTTTGTGCAAAACCTTTTTAATTTAATGTAATCAAAGTCATCCATTTTGCATTTCATAATGGTCACTATCTCGTTTGGTCACAAATTCTTCCCTTCTCCATAGATCTGATAGGTAAACTATTCCTTGCTCTCTAATTTTGCTTATAGTATCAGTCTTTATATCTAAATCACGTACCCAATTTGATTTTATCTTGGTATAGAGTGTAAGATGTTAGTCTATCCCCAGTTTCTGCCATACCATTTTCCAGTTTTCCCAGTAGTTTTTATTAGTGAGTTCTCCAGAAGCTGGAGTCTTTGGATTTATCAAATAGTAGATTATTATTGTCATTGACTACTGTGTCTTACATACCTAACCTATTCCATTGATCTACTACTCTGTTTCTTAGCCAGTACCAAGTAGTTTTGATGATTGCTGCTCTATAATACAATTTAAGATTTGGTATAGCTAGGCCACATTCCCTTGCATTGACTGATTCTTGATGTCTCATAGAGTCATTAGGTTCTACTTGCCCAATTCTAATTTTTAAGGAATTATTTTCTTTGGTTAGCTTTTGTACTATGTCTTCCATTTGGCCAATTCTACCTTTTTTGTTTTTAGTGAGGCAACTGGGGCTAAGTGAGTTGCCCAGAGTCACACAGCTAGGAAGTACTATGTGTCTGAGGCCAGATTTGAACTCAGGTCCTCCTGATTCCACGGCCAGTGCTCTATCCAATGCGCCACCTAGCTGCCCCCAATTCTACTTTTAAAGGAATTGTTTTCTTCAGTCAATTTTTGTCCTTCCTTTTCTAAGCTGTTGACTCTGTCTTGCATACCTCTCATTTCTTTTCCTGATTGTTCTTCTATCTCTCTTGACTTTTAAAATCCTTCTTGAGTTCTTCCAAGATTTTTGGGTTTGAAACCAATTCATATTCCCCTTTGAGGTTTCAGATGCAGGTATATCAACAATGTTGTCCTCTCCGAGTTTGTGTTTTGGTCTTCCGTCACCATAGTAACCTTCTATGGTCAATGTTCATTTTTGCTTCTTGCTCATTTTTTTTGGCCTGTTTCCTGGCTTTTAAAGTTGAGCTCTCCTGCTGGAGCACAGGGGACACTGTCCCAAGCTTCTTTTGATGTGGGGCAAGCACCTGGTCACTGGCTTCGTGTGCTGGGGCCTCGGGTGCTTATAGTTGGAAGCTATATGGGTCTGGCAGCTTACCTGGTGCTGAGCTGGGGTCCTAGTGGTGGTATCTGGCATGTGCTGAGGCCAGGTGGGGTCTTTCTGTTTCCCTGGGGCTACTCTGAAGCACGCATGTGTCTGGGTCTTAGAGGATGCGTATTTGTTCTGGGCTGCACTGAAGCACCTGGAGGTCTGGCTGCTGGAGGATGCCTGCCTACCTGGGGCTGCACTGAAGTATATGGTAGTTCTCGGAGCTGGAATGTGCCCACTCCCCTGGCTGTGCTAAGGCATATGGGGGGGTCCTCATGTTGGCGTTTGCTTATTCCACCACAAAGGGGCTCAGAATCTCCCCCTGCTTTGCTGAGATGGGGCTTGCTGGGATGCTTACTGTCCTGAAATGTGCTCCCCCTTTACTCAAGTGAGACAGACCTTTCTTGCCAATCCTCCAAGTTTTCCGGGATAAAACACTGCCCCACCCTGTCTTTCCACTGGCTCCACTGTTCCAGGATTTGTTCTGGGGCACTAATTTTATGGTTGTTTGGAGGTGAACATAGGAGACCAACAATGATTTACTGCTTACTGTCTGGGCTCTTAGTCTTTTGATGTTTTATTTTTTAAAATTCAATTTTATTTTATTTCATTCTAAATTCTCTTCTTCCCCTACCTACTTGAGAACACAACAAAAATAAAACCATTACAATTACGTACAGTCGTGCAAAACAAAATCTCACATTAGTCAAAGAAAGGAAGGAAGAGAAAGAAAAGAAGAAAAAGAAAGAAAAGACACTTCAATATGCCCTCTGAGTCCATCAGTTCTGTCTGGAGGTGGGCAACATTTTTCATCATGGGCCCTTTGGAGTTGTGGTAGATCACTGTATTGATCAGAGTAGCTAGTCTTTCACAGTGGATCATCCCGATAATATTGCTGTTACTGTGTTACTCCTGGCTCACTCTGCATCAATACATAGAGGTCCTCCTAGGTTTCTCTGAAACCATCCCCTTCATCATTTCTTATAGCATAATAGTATTCCATCACAATCATATACTCTAACTTGTTCAGACAACCCCCAATTAATGGGCAGAGTTTCCAATTCTTTGCCCCCACAAAAAGAGATGCTGTAAATATTTCTCTACATATGGGTCTTTTTCCTCTTTCTTTGATCTATTTGGGGTATAGACCTATTGCTGGGTCAGAGGGTATGCACAGATCCTGGCTTTTGATATTTCATCTCCTCCCAGTTCAGTCTTGGAGGGAGGGGAGCAGGGAGGTGTGGAGATCAAGGGACATTGTGGTCAACACATGAATAGGAGCTCAGTAGGGCATGGGAACCCCAAACATTCCAAGAAGTGGAAGCCAGCTAACTGTAGTGATAGAGACTCAAAGGATGGCAGGCTTCATTTAATCTCCAGTGGCTACAGGGTATGGATCAGAATCAAGAAACTCGGTAGACAGGCACAGGTAGATGACCCTTCAAGGATGTGGCCTTATTTCCCTCCCCCTGCCAAACACTCACACACGAGTCCAGTGCTTGCCAAGAAGCCAGGGCCAGCTCATTTCTGAAGACAGCTCTTGTTGGCTGTTTGCACGTCAGGGATCTGATAGTGCAAGCTGAGCAGTGGGCCTCTTCTCTGCTGCCACTGGGGAGTTGCACGTAGGCATATGACACCTGGGCCCTGGCCTCACCCTGATGTCACCCCATGTCCTTTACTCAGGGCTAGCTGTAGGATACAAGTTATAGAAGACACACCTTGGGGAGCCCAAGCCTAATGAGGATAGCCAGCTGGACTAGGATGAGCTGGGCTGGATTGCCTGGGCTGCAGCTGGAAGATTAGGTGGGCCAAGGGGGTGGAGTAGGGGTGGGAACAACAGCCTCAACCCTGCTCCCTTCAAGGCTCCAAGGGTTAGGCCAAACCAAATGGTCCCTTTCCCCACTCCTTCGTCCTCCTGTCCAGATCCCCCAATGCCTCAGGCCCAGTAGAGGCAGTCCTCTCCTTCCTCCCAGTTTCAGGAGAGACCTGGGGCAGATCTCTCCCATTCCCCCATTCCACAATATCATGCTGATTTGAGTACTACTCTTTCCCCTTCCCCCAAATTAGACTGAAAACTCTGAGCACATGACCTCTGATTTTTGATCATTGGACCTCAGCCCTCCATTCAGGTCTTTCTTGGTTGCCTCTTCCTATCGCCTCCATTAGGGCCATAATGGTTTCTGATTTTGTGTATCTGGATCTGAGTCTGAAGACACTAGCTAGCTGTGTAATCCTGCACATGTCACTGAACTTGTCTGTCTCAGTCCTCATCTATAAAGTGGGGATCATAATAGCACCTATCCCCCAAGGTTGTTGTGAAGATGCAATGAGATCTTTTTAAAGCACTTTGAAAATCTTCAGGTGCTAAAGGCTAGCTGTTATTATGATTCTCCTCAGGGTCTAGCATGTGGCCCACTCAGTAAATGAGCTTTGCATGAATAGAGGTAAATCAGGGTTACTGGAGATTATTGCAGGCTCTGGCAGCTCCTGGACCTTGTCTCTTCCACAGATTAGCTTCAGTCAGCTGGGAGAGGCCCTGTTTGGTCAGGGAGAATAATATTTTAGGTGACAATTCATTGACCTTGTGGAGGGACAGTCAAGGAGGGGTGGAGGTGGGGGAGACGCTAAGTCACATCCAAGAAATCACTGGTCTTTAATGCAGAGAACAAAAACCCAAAAGCCTGGAGTAGAGGTGCATAATAAAGGTTTAATTGAATTAACTGGAAGCAAAAGTTTGAAAAGCTAGGCTCTCTCTCCCTAGTAGGAGAGGCCCTGGGGGCTCCTTCACCCCCAACTCCCTTCACTCAGAGCTAACTGCTCTCCACTGTTGCCTCATAGGTCTAGGGTAGATTTTCTTTGAGTCAGGAAGCTGCTGAGGAACACCCACAAGGTGAGGCCTCACAATGGCATTGAGTAACCCTGAGCTTCACCACAGCCCCATCACCCAAGCACTGACCCCTTTTGTACACGAGTGAGAGTGAGAGAAGAATATTATACGAAGGGCCCCACCTTCAGACAAGGATAGGGGATGGCTAAATAGGAACATATTTGGCCCCAAGCCCTGAGGCTCTGAGAAAAAGAGAGGCCACTACCACAGATGGCAGCTGTTCTCACAGTCACTATGACTGAGGAAGGAAGGTTTCCCTTCCCTGAAGGCTTTCTGATCCCTCTGTAAGGCTGCCCTTTTGAAGTGGGTTTTGTTCATGTTGGGAACAGGGTTATACTTGGAGAAAAAAGCCCACGATTCTGTGCTCAAAGAAACACTGCTGGGGACAAGGGGCCAAGGATGCCTGGAATGCAGAGTCGGATGGTGACATCATAAAGTCAAGTAGTCATATCCCAGGGAAAAAACTGGGGAGAGGAAGGTGTCATAGTAGCCAGTCCCTGGCCACCATCCCACTCTGCACTATAAAAGCCAACCCCCTTCTCTAATACTACTTCCCTCATCCTTTCTTCCTTCCATGCCTACTAGGGAGTAGATGAGGGTAGCAGGGACAGAGAGTCAGCTTTCAGCCAGAAAACCAACCCCCACTACTCCATCCAAGCCTAGTGTTGTTTTGTTTTGTTTTGTTTTTCAGGGAGAGGGATGGAGGGAGTTAGTCCAGGAAGCCAACTTCCACAGGCTCAGTCACAGTACAGTTGAGCATACGGGTAGCCAGACGTTCAATATCATCCAAGCTCAGGAGGCGTAGACTCCGATCATAGTCCTGTGGGGAGTAGGAGGGAGGAGGGCAGGAAGGGAAGGGAGAAAAGAGATGGCCTTGACCTCAGGTCCAAGTCACGAGGAATGCATTGTCAAAGGATTGGGAAGGAAGTTGGGGTGGCCAAAAAAATCAAAGAGAGAGGGAAAGGACCCATAGAGACCCATATAGCAGCTGTTTTTGCGGGGAGAATGGGAAACTGACCACCAACTGGGAAATGTCTGAACAAGGTATGGTATGTAATTGTGATAGAATACTATTGTACTCTAAGAAATTACAAGGGGACTGGTTTTAGAAAAACCTGGGAAGACCTATATGAACTGACGCAGAATGAAGTGAACAGAATCAGAAGAACATTGTGCACAGCAACAGTAACACTGTAACAATGATCAATCCTGAAAGACTGAGCTCCTCTGATCAATACAATGAACCACCAGGATCCCAAAGGCCCCACAAGGAAGCCTGCTTCATACCTCCTGAGAGGAAGAACAGAATCCAAGCACTCAATAAAGCCTATGTTTGTGGATCTGGTGGTTCTACATGAGGTTTATTTGTTGCAAGGGCTCTGTTTGTCTTTTCTTTCCCCAATTGAGAGGGAAGAGGTGGGAGGGAGAGAAAATAAATGTTTGTGAACTGAAAAAAACAAATGGTTTGGAGTCAGAAGAGTCATGTTCGAACTCCTCTTTGGGCCATGATATCTTCCTCTGTAGAAGAGATGAGATCTAAGGTCCCTTCCAGCCCTGCATTTCTGATCTCATGATACTAAGGGCTGGATGTCCAGTTAGCCAAATACTTCAAAATGTCTGCAAGCACTAGGTTAGGATGAGAGAGATTGCCCTCATAGTCCTGGACCTCACCTTTTGTAGCTGTTCTAGGACTCTCCTGGTATCAGCTGTGCTGAAGTGTCGGGCCAAGATCTGAGAGACCAGCAACCAGATGGGCAGTGGCTGAGACTGGACCTGAGGCTTTGAGGGCAGGTGTCGAGCAGTCCCCTCATCAGGAAGCTTGATCACTAAGTTGATCTTGGAGTTTGGCCCAATGCTATAGTCTGAAAGGCGAAGCTCGTCTGGGAGGAGGAAGAGGAAGAAGAGGAGGAGGTGATATTTGGCTTCTGTGTTTCCTTACCAAAAGAACCAACTTGAGGCCTCTTACCTCTTAATAGCACCTCATAGTTGAATAGGTTACCACCTGTGTGCTACCCTATACCCTGACTTCTCAGGGCCAGCTTGGCCTCTAGATCCAACTGATGCCCTCAACCAACTCCACAGAGCTCCTTCACCATCCCAGGGAGTACATACATGTATGGGGTGGGAGGGGGAATATCAAAGTTAAAGATCCTAGTATTTGGGATCAGTAGAAAGAAATCATTGATATTACGTGAATCTCTCCCATTTTGGCTCAATCCCACGGTCATGTTTTCAGTCTCTAATGAATCAATAAACAAGCACTTACTAGGTGCACCCCTATGTGTCAGGCACTTAAAAAAGGGAAATAGTCTTTGCCTCCAAGGAGCTAGCATTCTATCTGTTCCAGGTCCTAGAGCAAGTTTTTAACCTGGAGTCTGTGACCTTGCTTTTAAAAAGTATTTTGACTTACTAGTTGTGTGACCCTGGGCAAGTCACTTAACCCCAACTGCCTCGGGAGGGGAAAAATGTTGATAACTCTTATTGCCTTTGTAATAATCCTATGTATTTTATTTTATGCATTTAAAAACAATATTCTAAGGAGGGCTTCATAAGCTTAACCAGATTGCCAAACACAATAAATTTTGTTACACAATCTCCACTGGACCCTCACTGCTTTGAGGTAATCCTACTATACCTCCCCTATCAACTCATCCACTTTGCATGTTGGCTCTTCCAAACCTTTTCATCCCATCTATAACTTGTGTTACAGAAGAAATTGAGGCCATTCTCTAATAGCTCCCTTTTCCCCTCTTCTTTTCCTCATCTCTCTTTTTTTTTTTTTGGCTAGGCAATGGGGTTAAGTGACTTGCCCAGGGTCACACAGCTAGTAAGTGTTATGTGTCTGAGGCCGGGTTTGAACTCAGGTCCTCCTGAATCCAGGGCTGGTGCTCTATCCATTGCAGCACCTAGCTGCCCCCTTATCTCTTATCATTCAGGTACATTCTGCCATCTTCTCCTCCTTCAACCATTCCATCCTGTCTATTCCAATAGACTGACCCCACTTAATCATCCTCACTTTCTCACTTATCTTCAATCTCTCTGTGTCTACTGGCTCATTCCCTACTGTTTACAAACATGTGCTTGTCTCCCCCATGCTTCCCAAACCCTCACTTGATTCATTCATCTCCTCTAGCCAGCATCCTATATCTCTTCTGCCCTTTGTAGCTAAACTTGAAAAGCCTACACTCAGTGCCTCCACTTTCTGTCCTCATCCCTTACAGTTTGGCTTCTGCCCTTAGTAAACTGCTTTCTTCAAAGTTACCAATGATCTCCTGGCTGCCAAATACAACGGTCTTTTCTCAATCCTTATTCTCCTCCACCTCTTTGCTGCCTTTAATACTGCTGATAACTCTCTCCTCCTTGACACTCTCTTTTGTCTAGATTTTTGGGACACTACTCTCTCTCTCCTGGTTCTTTTTCCTACCTGATTACTCTCTTTCTGTCTCCTTTGATGGATCTTCACCTAAGTCATGCCTGGTAACTTGTGAGTCTCCCTCAGGGACCTGTTTTTGGCCCTCTTCTCTTCTCTCTCTACTTCACTTGGTGATCTCCCATGGATTCAATTATTATCTCCATCCTGATGATTCTCAAATCTACTTATAGAGCCATAATCTTAAGTTCTGCATCTTCAACTGCCTATTAGACATCTAAACTGGATATCCAGTAGATATCTTAATCTCAGTATGTCCAAAACAGAATTCATTATCTTTTCCCCTAAACCTTTCCCTTCTCTTACCTTGCCCATTACTATGGAGAACACCACCATCCCTCCCCCCCTCCCCTTCCCAGCTCTCAGACTCACAACCTAGCAGTCATCCTGGATCCCTTACTATCTCTTCCCTCCCATATCTAAGCTGTAGCCAAGGCCTGTGATTTCACCTCTGCAACATCTCTCAAATATACCCCCTTCTCTCCTCTGACAGTGCCCCCATTTTGGTGCAGATCCTTACTACCTCACACCTGGACTACAGTAATAGCCTGCTGGTCAGCCTGCCTTAAGTCTCTCCCCACTCTGATCCATCCTCCATTCAGCCACTAAAGTGATTTTCCAGTGGCTCCCTATCATTTCTAGGATCACATATAAAATCCTGTTTGGTGTTCAAGGTCCTTCATAACCCTCTACCTTTCCAGTCTTCTTACAGCTTACAGCCTCTTCCCAAGTACTCTTTGATCCAGTAACACTGATGTCCTTGCTATTCCTGGAACAAGACAGTTACCTTTCTGCTCTGGACATTTTCTCTGGCTGGCCCCCAAACTTAGAATGCTCTCCTTCCTCATCTCTGACTAATGACTGCCTCAAAGTCCTAGATAAAATCCCTCCCCACCCCCTTAAAGCTAGTGCCTTCCTTCTCTCTGAGACTATCTCTAATTTGTCCTTTATTTTGTTCGCATGCATTTCTTTGCATATCATCTCCCCCATTAGAATGTGATCTCTCAAGGACAGGGTCTTGTATCTTTTTTTGTACCCCCAGAGCTTAGCCCGCGCAGTAGACGCTTAATCAATGTTTCCGGACTGACTGATAAAAGTCCACAGGAGGCTAAGCACCCCAGGGCTGGAGGCTGGAGCGAGGCCAGGGCAGCCCTCTCTCCTCCCTTTCCCTCCCCCTTCCTCGGCGGCCTCAAAGGGGCTCGGGGGCCGAGAGAGGTCGGTACCTGCCAAGGCCTTGCCCTTGAACAACAGCCGCTGCTGGACCACCGGGACGTTCAACTTCTCGGACACCAGGTGCTTCAGGGTGGAGACTCGCTCGTCCTCTGGCACCTGGGGGCGGGGTAGGGGCGGGGCGAGGCGGGGCCGGCGAGCAGGGAGGCGGTGCTTGAGGCGGCTGCTGGCCCCGATCACCCCGCCCACCACCCCACACCCGGCTCCTCTGGGGGGAAGGGGCCGACCCGGCCCCGCCCCCGGCCCCGCCCAGCCCTAGCCCGCTTGGGCCAGCCAATCGCCCCAGCCCTTGGGAGCGCGCCACCCGACCCCCCCTCCAGAGTGGGGTGGAGGGGAGGAAATCAACGTTATCGGGACGCGAAGGAGTACCTGGAGGCTGCATTCCCGGCCCTGGAGTGCCTTCACGGTCAGCTGCATTGCGGCGGGAGCGGCGCCTTTAAGAGCTCCCAGCGGACTTGGACTGCACCTCCCCGTCCGCCGCCTCAACTTCAGGCCCAGCCGGAACCAACAGCCAGCTGGGGGGGGGGGCTGGCCCTCGAGGCTGCTGGGAGCCTGGAAGGCGGGGCCGCGGCTGGGGCGGGCCGGATGTGAGGCTGAGGGAGGTGGCAGCTGCGGAGGGATTGCGGGGCCGCGGGGCCGCGACGCCGCTGCGGGATGAGCGCCCTCTTCAGGCCTGGAGGGTATGCCCAGTGCCATCTCACGCACTCACCCTCCCTAGTGGCTGCGCTAGGAGGCTAGCGTCAGTAGTTGAGGGGGGAGGGGAGGATGTAAGGTGTAAGAAGACTGGAAACGGCAGGAGGGTGTAAGGTTGTGAGGGGCTTTTAATACAGAAAGGGATTTTGCCTTTGGTCCAGGAGGCAATAGGAACCCACTGGAGTTGGGGCGGGGATGTCACATAGTTGGACCTGAGCTTTAGGAAAATATTGACTCAGTAACCTTGGGGGCTGGGAACTCCCTGCTAACCAGATGGTTCACCCTCACAGTCAGATGCCAGAGTACAAGAACTTGAGGAATACTGGGTAAACTGCAGGCCATCAGGCAGCTCCCCTTTCCCAAGGCTACTGAGTCATTGTCCTCTGTGGGTGGGGCCAAAAGGCAGATTACATAGGGAAGTTAGGTCAGGTGCCGAATTGGGGAGGCGGGGTGCACAACTTTGGGATACATTGAACTTTAGATGCTAGTGGGACATCCGGGTGGAGATATCCCACAAGCATTTAAAAGTGGGGAACTGGAGCATAATGGAGAGATTTGATTTGGAGATACAGATTTGGAAATTCATTCGTTATTTAGGGTCTCCCCAAAGGGGAGAGTAAATAGGTGCTATATATATGATATGAATCAGGTGCAGGACAGCTATTTATTTCTTACGCTCACAAAAATAATGCTTAACACAAAAGGAACTTAGAAGGGCATATTGATAGAATACTTAATAAGCAAGTAACTCAATCACAATAATTTGTACCGTGCTGGTAGGTTGAAACAAACATAGCATGGAGCAGTCTGTGAGACTGTTAAATAGACATTTCATATTTTGCCTCAACTCTGCACTGTCTAAATGGCTTCAAGTCCATGTCTTTTGGCAAGCCAGTCTAGTGTTTGGTCTCCACGTCTTGGTAGTGGTCATCTTCTCCAGTGCAGGAATTCTCCCTGCTGCCAGTCAGCTCAGACCAAGAGACCTAGAATCTCCAGACCTCTCAGATTCGGCAGGCTGCCTCCAAGGCTGGATATATCCCTATGGGCATTGCTGTTCACTCACCTATGATTAGGCAAAAGGACACAGATTAGAAGAGGCATCCAGTGGCCTGGGTTCAACCTCTTCTAGCTAGACATCCCCAGCACTAGCTCCCATGTGGCTTATTGCTCATGGCCCCTATCCCTCCATGGGAAAAGCTAGGATAGTCCTGAAACTTAACATGTACCTGAAAGAGAAGGTGTATCCTTTTAAAGATCCAGTGAGTCATTGGCTCTTCCTGCTCAGTGGCCAATAAAGGAGTTGCTTCATTATCTCAAAGCACTAGCCCTTCAGTGCTGTGGCGCACATATCCCTGGAATTTCTGGAAGTTTCCAAGGGGAGCCTTCTGTGTATGCTTTCTGGGATGACCCATATAAGCTTATTCCCATACATGTTCCCTGTGGTGTAAACCTCCAATCCAAACCCCTACTACATAGCTGTATACAGAATATATACAAAATGAATGCAAGGTAGTTTTGGGAGAGAGGGTACAAGCATCAGAAGGAACTTGCAACAGCTTCCTATAGAAGGTGGAGCTTAAAAAATAGCCCAACAGGGGCATGATAGAGTGGAGGGCAGATTTGGGGAGGAGGTAATCAGAAGTAAACATTTCTGAGGAGGGACAGGTTCCAAAGAAAGAATAGAATGAATGGGGGTCGGGATAGGATTAAGGGAAATATACTTAGTTTTTCACAACATGACTAGTATGGAAGTGTTTTGCATGACTAGTATAACCTGTATTGGGTTGCTTCCTTCTGAATGAGGGTGGGTGGGGAGGGAGGAAGGGAGAAAATTTGGAACCCAAAGTTTTAAAAACAAATGTTTTTTTAAAAAATTTTAGATTGTTTTCACATGCAACTGGCAAATAAGATATACAGGAAATGGGGTATAGAAATCTATCCTGCTCTACAGGAAAATTGAAGGGGAAGGGGGGGAGAGAGAGAAGGGAGGGCAGATTAGAATGCATGCCATATTGGGGTGGGGAGAGGGAGGAGATGAGGAGAAAATTTGGAACTCAAAATCTTGTGCAAGTGAATGTTGAAAACTAAAAATAAAATAATTAATTAAAAATGATTTTAAAAAAAAAGATAGCTCAAGTCTTGAGGAAACCCAGAGATTCTAAAAGGCAGAGGTGAGAAATGTTGGGGAATAACCAGTGTGAAGGCATGGCAATGAGAGAAAGTGTTGTAACTGTGCAAAAAGCAAGTTGTCATTTTGAGGGGCTGCATTCCAGAACTTCAATATACAGCCTCAAGTATAACTACTAAATTTTATTTCCTATTTTGCAAAAAAAATTTTGTTAAAAAAAAAACAAAGCAAAATACACTTGTAACTTGTATACTATGGCCCTCTCTCCCAGAGCCAGGCTGGGTATATCTCCCTCTCACTAGTGTCAGAGTACCTAAGGGATTTGTGGGGTGTCTCTTCTTTACTGCTATTGGCTTAAGTCCCCACTGGTTGTATTCTCCCCATTGTTAGGGGCCAGTGACCAATTCCAAGCACCCCAGTTCCATTAACATCAATGAGCATTTACAAAGGAATATTTACTTCAAAGCTATAGCAAAAACTAATATACAAACATTTTTCCTACTCCTCAGGATATACTCTCCCATTATATCACTTTGGTCTGTGAGAGAGAGTAGGCTCAAAATTTAGCTCAGCTCCTACATATCATTCCTCCCACCAAATGCATGTCCACATGAGACATCTCTGCCAGATGAATCTCAGCTTCTACTATCTGGCATCCCAAAGGTCTTCCCAAAAGGTCAGTGCTCCTTGGAGGATAAATGTTGGGATGATTGACCTGACCTGGACTCCAGTTCCCAGATTCCTGTGGCTTATTCTCTGGATCCTTCAAAACACACAAGCTTGGAGATCCCATTCCCTTTACCTAGAACAGAAAAAAAAAAAAAGCCATGCAGAGACAGAGGACTGAAGCTCTTTCACTGGGTCATAGTCCTCAGAGTAGGAGAAGGCCCCTAAGCCTTTCCCCTTCCCACACAGTTACTCACCAGAAGCTGTGAGCCAATTGGAGAGCCTTCACTTCAACATAGGATGCCTTTCCTGATCCACAATAATAGTAGTGCCTCCCCTGGTGATCTCCATTTTCTCCTGTCTAGAGCTTGAGGTCAGAGCTTGTCTTTTGCCTCTTTCTATATCCCTAGTGCTTAGTGAAGTGCCTGATACATAGTAGGTGCTTAATCAATGTTTACTGACTGACAGGGTTATCAGACCAGAACCAGTCACAGTGTTTACACATGCTCCATAGTCTCTCCAAGGCACTTCTCTTATGTAACATCACAATTCTCTCAGAAGGCTCCCAGCCATCAGCCAGAATTTAACATCACTACAACTACTTAAAATTCTTGAGTTATTGTGACTATTATAGCTTTTTTGAATGAAGTTTACATCACTGTCCTATTCAAAGTGCAATAATAATTCCTAAAAGGAAATGATATTGGAGATTCAGTATAGCTGAATCATAGTTTGAGGAGGGAAACAATGTGTAAGAAAACTAGAAAGGTAGCTTGGAGCCAGGTTGTAAAGGACCTTAAGTGCCAAATGAAGGAGTTTGTACTTGCTCCTAGAGGTAATAAGTTGCTACTGGCATTGATTGAACAGGATGGTGATTTGGGCTGTATTTATAAATCTGGCAGTCACCATCAAGCAATAATCAACAAACATTTATTAAGCACTTATCATGTGTCAGGCACTGTTCTTAGCACTAAGGATACAAAGTCCAAAGCAGGGTTCCTGCCCCCAAGGAGTTCACATTCTAATGGGGAGGATAACATGCAAATATGCAAACTAGCACAGCACTTAGCACAGTACCTGGCACAGAGTAGGTGCTTAATAAATGTTTATTGAGTTGAATGGAACTATACAGTAGAAGATATGTGCAGTGTAAATTGGAGGTAATCTCAGAGGGAAGGCACTAACATGGCAGGGGTGGGGAGGGACACCTGGAAGGTCCTTTTGTAGAACATGAGATTTGAACTGAGTCTTGAAGGAAGGCATGGAAGCCAGGAGATACAGGTAAGAGGGCAGAGCATTCCAGGGAAACTCAGAAGAGGAATGAGGGTTAGGGTCAGCCAGTAAAAGAGAGATGGAGTGTGGTGTTCGAGAGTCAGCAAGAAGGCCAGTATTGCTGGATTGTAGAGTTACATGGAGGGGAGTTAAATATAAGACTAGAAAGCTAGAAGGTCCAAGTTGTTAAGAGCTTTATTTTTTTTAAGAGCTTTATTTTTAAAAAATATTTTATTGATGTCTTTTAAAAATCATTTTTAATCTTCTTCAGTATCCTTTCTACTCAGAATGCCACCCCATATAACAAATAGTATTTAAAAAAAGAAGAGGAAAAAAAATCATCATAGCTGATCAGTACGTTGAAAAATTTTGAAAACGTGCAATAGTACACAACTTGTGGACCTCCCACATCTACAAAGGGGTGGGGTGGGAGTGTCTTCTCATATTTTTTTTTTTTCAAATCATGCTTGCTCTTTATAAATTTGCAACATTTGCTTTTTCTTTTTCTATGTGTGTGGTTCTTTCCATTTACATTGTTGTAGTTTTTGTGTATATTGTTTCCTTGGCTCTGCTGACTTTACTTTGCATCAGTTCATTTAGATCTTTCCATGCTTTTCTGTATTCATCACACACATCATTTCTTATAGCACAGTAATATTCCATTACATTCATGTACCACAATTTGTTTAGCCATTCCTCAATTGATGGGCATCTACCTTGTTTCCAATTCTTTGTTACTACAAAAAGTCTTGCTATAAATATTTTGGTGTATTTAGAA